TCGGAGACTGAATTTCGATAAAGCATTTAGTTGCACCCCAAAATTTTCCATCCCATTTTTACTCAAAACATACTCCTAGAGGTCCTCAACTTGCCCAAGGATGCCTAAGGATTGACCAGACAAATCCTCCTCCTAAGACTATGAGCCTCAAACTAGGGTTTCACTCCTCATCAAGATGTTTGAGTTCCAAGGGTCCTAAATGGTTTCCATTACCCTAATATATCCTCAAGGTCATTCATGCCAAGTTTCATGCCTTGCACAAGAAGTTTTCTCAGTTAACTGCTTAGATGCCTGAAAATCAACTATACTAGGTCAAAAGTCAATTGTGGCCCTCATGCAGTCAAACTTCAAGATGTTTGGTCAACGTCAACATTTTGAAGTAATATTCATCATTTGATTAAGGGTCGAGCATGATTCCTCAAGGAATGCCCCAAATTCATCAAAACTCAAAAGTTGCTAAATTAGGGTTTCTATAAGAAAAGTCAACCAAACTTTGACCATGCATAACTTTCTCATACTTTATCAGAAATTTCCCATCCAAGGCTCATTTTTAAGAGGATTCAATTCCTTACAACTCATCTTCAGCCCTCAAGTTCAAAAAATGTACTCATGAAAAGATATAAATTCAGACATTATAGGTCATTTCAAAAAGTCAACAAAACACCTTTTGGGTCAAAGCTTCTTGCATGAACATGAAAGATCTAATTGAAATGAATCCAAAAGTTTTGTTTAGAGGACATCATAAGCTTTCTAAAAAGTCAAAGAACACCCTCTTAGGGTTAAAATTGAGGGATATATGTATTGTCAAAGTTGACCAATTTTTGGAAATGTGCATGAAGTCAACATTGATCAAAATGACTTTTTTTCCAAATGGACCCATGTTTTCTTGTTTAAAACTTGTTCCTAAGATGGCCCACGACCCCTGAGCTTATCCACCTATTATTTTATTATTTTTATTATTTATTTTGATTTTTTATCCATTTAAATCAAAATAAGTAAATTTAAATAGTAGAATAAGGAAATAAAATCCAAGATTTGATTTTATGAGCATATTATGAGTCAATGAACAACTACCAAATCATCCAAATCGTGCAAGAGCTAATTGATTGGAAAAGATCATGATTTGGCTTGTTTTAGAAACAAATAATGCAAGGAATAAAATTAAATCAAATCTCAATAATGTGTGAAGATACATTCCAACTTTGTTAACCTAAATCAGTCTATTATATGTCCACAACATTCCAGAGCAAAAAAATGAGGATTGGGTCGTGAGAATTGAAGAATAAAGTTGCAAATTTTGGAAGAAAAGTGTTGATCACATATTCCTCCATAGGCTGGTTCAAGCCATTCCAAGATCACAAATAGCTTCAGGGAGTTCCTTTGATCAATTCCAGACCTTCACAAGTGACCACAACATTCAGAATCATAAAATCCATAACTCGGTTCTCCAACTTTTTTTGATTTTCGATTACATGCATACATGCTTTTTCAATGAAATTTAACCATGCATTTTTGCTTATCACAAGGTTTCGATGCTTTCTGATTTGTTTGATTGAGTTTTAAGTGCAGGAATTAAAGGATACCATTGCTAGGGTTCTAAGCTTCAAATCAGGGCTTTCTGATTTAGACATAATTGGGACAAACCAATGCCATCATCGTGTTCAGGGAACCAAAACGAGTTGATTCATAGCCTCACCATTAATTTATATTGCATATTTTGAGAATTTTGATTTTTGCAAGGGGCTTTAGTGACGCTTGATCCATTTCTATAAGTTATAGTAACGGATGCAGTCCGTAGGTAAAAGTGTGGTCAAAAACGACAGTTCTGGGGAGAAGATGAACGATGTGGCTGACTCCCACTGGCCGATTTGAATGTTGGCATATTTTTCTGGGCATGCCACCTTGTTTACGTTATGTTATTTTCTGTTTATTATGTTAACGAATGAGTCATGTAACATAGATGGTAAAAGGTAGCGCTGGTGAGAGAAGGGACTTGGGTTCGATCCCAGGTCTAGGCATATTACCATTTTATTTTCCTAACATACTTTGTAGGATCCCATGCGCCACACCTTCACAAGACCATCATGCGTCCTCAGATCCAACCATGGGATCATCTCAGATCCAGATCCAGCGCCAAATAATTCACCCCCATGGTGGACCCTCAGAGGCAGGCTTCATTGAATCGTGCGCTGGACAATTGGGCCATCAGCAAATTGGGCTTGGCAAATTCAGCAACAAACCCCCAGTTTGCTATTTCATACCAGGCCCATTTTAATTCTTTTAATTTCTTCTATTTAGTTATTTGACTTTAATTATTTCACAAAAAATCATTGTTTTTAATTAAATCATAAAATTACAAAATATTAGAATTAGGTTTTTTTCATAAAATGTTTAATTTCATTAATTAATTAGGATAATTTAATTAGGGTAATTTAATATCTTTTTCATAAATAAAATCAATTAGAATTAGGTTAAATCATAATTTAATCACTTTTCTTTCAAATAAAAATACAAAAATATTTTTCTTTAACTAATTAGATTTCTTTTAGAATTTCAATTTTATTCCTCGTATTTAATTCTGTCACGCGTAGTCTTTTTTTCCCTTATTTCTTAATTATTTTAATTGGTTTGAGATTGTAATAGTTTTAACTAGGATTTTATTTACTGCCTTTATTTACTGTTTACGCTCATTTTGGTTATGTAATCCCCTCCCCGAGGCCATGTAATAGCTAGGTTTAAATTCACGTACTTTACTTTCTGCTATTATTAACTACTTAGACTAATAGGATTGTATGCAAAAGACAAATGGTTAAAATAGTAGATCACCCTAAATGTGCAAAGATAAATGAACTGAAATCAAACACTTGCACATGCTCACTCCTAGGGTTACCCCCCACTTCGGTTGCCTTCGGTAAACGGTCATGAAGTATAGGGAATTTTAGTGGTCTCCCTCTAGTCCCAAAAGATAAAAAATGACCCATTCGAATGTTGTCTTGGAAAGATCTTTAAGACTCTAGGGTAATTACTAAGGTTTCCTAATCATTGCTTATGTGACCGTAATTGTCCCTTCGAATGTCCCTTAAACTCCAACGATGGAGCTACCTAATCCTTAATAGTAGGATAGTGATGTCTAAAGGAAATGAGAAAACGAACTATCTTTTTAGAGTAGGTAGAAACTCTTAAGTACTTGCTCAAAACAACAAAAACTCATTCACACAAACACTTTTATAACAGTTTTCAAAAACAACTCCGTCACACTCTTGAGGACAGATACAAGGGTTACCATGAAGTTAAACAAAAACTTTTCAAAAACACACACAAGCAATTTCAAAATGAGAAAGTACCTAAGAGCCCATGGAAAACCATGGATAGAATGGGTGCTAACAACTTCCCTTTCTATAATTTGGTGGAAACATCTCGAAAATGGTTTTTTCTATTCTTTTTCCTTTTCCTTTGTTGGATGAAATAAAATTTGGTGGCGACTCTTGCTTACCGTGAAATTTGCGAATAAAAAACGCAAAACCAGTATAAAAATCGGTTCTACCACCATATCACACATTTCCTCGGAGACTGAATTCCGACAAAGTATTTCCTCAAAGACTGAATTTCGACAAACATTTCTTCAAAACTAAATTCCGACAAGCATTTCTTCCGAGACTAAATTCCTACCAACATTTTATCTCAGAAGCTTACTCTGAAAAACTTTTCCTTCAAAGATCTAACAAATATTCGCTTCAGAGACTAAATTCTAAAAGGACAGTTCTGAAGCTACCAGCGGAAAACACAGAGCCGCCACTGAACTTTATTTATCCCGAAGGAAGGGGAAATATCGATAAAACCACAAGGGAATGGATAAGATGGTCTTGCGACCAAGATAAAGGGTAAGGGAGTCGATTATGCAAGGGGAAGATATTAGTACCCCCTCACATCCATTGTACTCAACAGGATGCATTTTGTTTGTTTATCTTTAAGGGTGTGTTTATCTACAACTATACTTTCTTAAGGGGAAAGGAATGGTTTTTTATTATTGCGTTCGTGAGGGTTTTGTGACCCTTTGCCTACGTCTCCAATGAAGGAATTAAAACACCTTAGTTCCTCTAGAAAATGGTTTGTTTGTGTTTTTTAGTGGGCAACGTTAACGCACACATTCTAGCAATAGGCACAGCCAGTATCGCGGTAGAACGGAGATAACATGCTCTTTGGGGGAGTTTTGATTGGTTCAGTGTTTTACGGGTTTTAGAATAAATTCAAGTAATGATTAAGGGTGTTTTTGGATTTTTGATTTGTGAATGATAAATTTTAATTACAAAAGAAAAAGGTTAAGGGAGAGATTAAAAACCTAACTGCTTTGTTATTTATAAGTGATCTAAAAGTCTACTTCGACACAAGACGATCGAAACGGGGTTTAATCGCCTCATGGAGCTACCTAAGGGAGTATGGCATCGAGGTTTGAACGAACAAATAAAGAAACTTAAATTCTAAATGTTTTTTGTGGTTTTATATTAAATTAAATAAATAATGAATTCAAAAAGTAAATTAAAACCTACTTCTAAAATATTCTAATATTTATTTGTGATTTTTAAGTAAAGCAAAATAAAATCTAATTCTAAATATGTATTTTTTGTGATTTTTAAGTAAATAAAATATTAAGAGAAAATTAATATCTAATTCTAAATGTATTTTGTTGTGATTTTTAAGTAAAGAAAATGTTAAGAGAAAACTAAAATCTAATTCTAAATATATTTTTTTTGTGATTTTTTTAAGTAAAGAAAATATTAAAAGAAAACTAAAATCTAATTCTAAATATATGTTTTTTGTGATTTTTTAAGTAAAGAAAATATTAAAAGAAAATTAAAATCTAATTCTAAATATATTCTAATATTTTAATTCTTTTGTATAGAGAAAATGAAATTAGAATAAGGTTAAATTCTAGTTATTTATTTAAAGAAGAGTTTAAAATAAACAAACATGAATAAAGTTTAGAAGCTAGAACAAAGAGAATGAAAAAAAGAGGATCCAAAAATCGTCCCAATGGGTATTGAACCTGAGAACATCGGTTTGCAACTTTAAGTCCTTACCACTACACCATGCTTTATGATTAGTCATTGTCACAGTTCGAGAATAATAAAAAGTAAAATAAAATAATGAATTGGGCCCAATTGGAGAACCTGGTCCTGGTTAGGCCCAATTAGAAGTTGTATTAAGAAAAACCCTAGAAGCCAGAAGGAATGGTTGGCCGCTGGTATTACTTGGGAAGAGGAAAGAATTGGTCAACGATAATTATTTAATTAAATTCAATAATTCCTAACAATTCTCAATTAATGGAAACTACTCTCACATCTTTCAAAATCCTAATGTTCTTGTCCATTTTAAATTTCACGATGAAACAAACAAATTTACTTTCTCTGTTCCAACAATCCCATTATCCTTCTTCTTCTTCTAAAGGAAAAGAACACGAGAATCCTTTCTCAATCTCAACCAAAAAACTTCGTGATTCTCGCTCTTTCTATTCTCACTGTTCTAACAACAATTAAACATCTCTTTGTCTCTACATGAAAAAAAACAAAACCTTTTGCACTCTTGATTCTTACGGATCTCCTTCTCCATTTCTTAATCTAAAGCTCATCATGGTTTAAAACGCAAATAACTACAACACCACGCAAAATCGAAGAAAAATATAAGGTACATTTTGAGATATACTAACCACAAATAGGACGAAGTTGATGACACTCAGATTAGATGCTTGTTCTTCTTTTTCAATTTCTTCTTCAGAAATCCTCGTGATTTGAATCGTGCACAATTTTTCTTACTTCTTTTGATGTGTTGCTGTGTTTTTGTTATGCGTTTAATATGTTGTTATGATTACAAATTCTGATAGAAGCTTATTCGGTTGTTGCTGGGAATTACAGATTGGTGATGGTCATGTTCAAGGAGGAAGTGAGAGGAAGTGTAGTTTAAAGTCTGTAAAATTGGTAATGAAGGATTGAAGATGGTGTAAAGGTGTTGAGGTAGTTTAGACAGAGGTTCGATAGCAAAAGTTTGGTGATTTCTGTGTGATTTTGATTTCAATTTCTTGTGTATTTTCTTTGATAATTTTCTGTCTGATTTGGGTGTTGTCTCTCTCCTCTTTTCTTTCATGTGTTCTGATCTTTTTATAGAGAAAATATGATTAAAAAAATAGAGAAAAGTGGGTGAGATTTAAACAGATATGGATGCTGGTTCGTTACTTTCTGAAATAGTGTTTTGGTGCATACCATTTTAGTGCAAATTTTGGCATGTTTTGTTTGGTGTTTGTGTACAGGTTATAGCATGGTAATTGAAGCAGATTTTTGGTGTTTTCTTGACAATAATGGACAAGAATATGATAACAAGCATATCAACAAGTTTTTGGGATTTTTTTGCAGGTCTATGCAGGGCTGGTCTGTGGGGCTTGTGGATGGTTGGTGGAAGGATGTTTTTACATACTGTTGTATGCAAGAATTTTCCAGCATAGGGCAGAGTTTGCGGACTGGTTTAATAGCAGGTGTTTGGACTGGTTTATAAACAGTATGCAGAATTGGCTTTTGACATGGTTTTGGAATGCTTTGTAGATGATGCAGGGTTGCATAGGAATAGCAGGGCAGCAGGATATGTTGACATGATCTTGGGTTAGCAGCAGCAGGCTTGGACTGCAGCATATCAGATTTGGAGCTTTTCTCGACAGCATCATTGGTTTTGTGTATTGGAAAAAAATTAGATTAGGTAACCTAATCTTTTTAGACTGTTTTTATGGTTTTACGCAAGGATGTTATTCTAATTGGTTTGTAGGCACGGTTTTGGAAATGTAGCAATCATGGTTGATGCAAGACTTTGGGCCTGTTTTAAACAAGGTTCTTGAAGATTGGCATGAAGAACTTTAAAGATGAATATTGAAGATTTCAGAATTAGGTTTTGGATGGATCTTGGTGTGGGATTTTATAGTGTAAAATTTTTATAGTTTCATTTGTAACATGGTGTATTTGGAAATTGTAATAATTTGTATCATGAAATGTCTTGAAACTAATGAAAACCTCAAATCCTGTTAAAAACTTGCATGATGATGTTGAATGGAACTTTGGTTGAATCTTGAATCTTGCTTAAAATTTCTAATTTTCTAGATTCCTTCAATTTAAACCTCAGTTGCATTCTCCGTGTTTCTTCAATCTTGATTAAGTAGAAAGGCCCATATTGTGAGATGGATTAGAACTTCAAATGTGACATAGGTCAAAAGATATTGTCCCAATAACTTAAACTTAATCCATGACCGTTCCCATCTTGTATCATAGCTTCCAACCCCAAGAAGTGTACATGTCACACATTGAATAATGTCACACTCAATGACCTTCCAGATATGAAATCCTTAAAAACATTTTGCACCTGAAGCAAACTATTCACAATGCCTTACATCTCAAGAAATTCTTCTCTAATCAGATAAAACCTTGATTCCTAATGTACCAACCCTAAGTGGTTGGATGATAACAATGAATTCTCATCTTTTCCTGCATGAATTTTATGGCCAGATAACTTGCGGTTCCAGTAATTAACTCTTTTTATTTACAATAGGGAAGCTCAAGCGAGATCCTAACCACGAGGGCGCCATATGATCATAGTTAACCCCAATCAGTCGATAATGCAAGAAAAAGAAGATGCATCTCTCAATCATGGTTCACAAGACACTTTATCTTTGAATTCAAACCCTTTGAATAAAGTAAATAAGATAGTTTGTATCACAAGTAACAATGCGAGACATTCCTCATAGGATTGACACACTAAAGTTTCGAGGAGAAAAACTCGTGACAGTCAAGGTCAAAGCCCTAGTTCATGTCCTTGACATATCTTTAAAGAGAATGAAAGAATAATTTCATAAAAATGGACCCAAAACCCTAATCTCTTGACAAACAAAAGGGGAATAAACTCTAATCCAATATCTGATGAATTCGGTTGAGAAATTTCCTCGTAACTTAATGAGATAGAAATCCATGATAGCCAAAACCTAATTCCACATAGTCCACTGCTCAAGAACCAGATGAAACTACCGTTAACTGATGAAGGGACCCCAAAACCAAAATGAAACCCTAGTCTTGCACAAATACTACTTCTTGAACCAAAGTACTTTATTCAACAAAATGTGTGATATGCAAATGAACTAGTGGAGATGATGTAGATGAAATGCCAAGTCTAAGCCAGACGAAAGTAAAAGGTAGGACAAATTTGGGGTACAACAACTGCCCCTATTTAATTTTCTTAAACCTGAAAGTGATATTGGCGTCAGCCTTTCGAAGGTTCAAGGTTGAATATGATTAAATACTAGGACCCAAAATTTGTCCTAGAGAGATGGTGTGAGTGTTATTTATTGGTGATGTCTGCTGGGGAAAGAAAAATTCGTTTTCAGGTAAACTGGGCACGATGGATAAACATGGTTGAATAATGGTAGCTCGTACTAGGGTAACGGTGCCAATACAAGGTTCTCGAGGGAGTGGGCGATAAAGTGACTGAAAGGATATGGTTGACGATGTCGTGGTGATTAAAGGTAGTATTACTAAGAACATAATAACTTAAAGATGACAGGTAGAATTTGACAACAACAGAGAAGCTATCGTGTGGGATTCACAACCCAAAAGAAAGGTAAAGACAATGGGTAAATATCGGCGTATGATTTATGACCCAAGAAAGATAACATGAGGGTAAGACCTACGAGTAGCCTACGACCCTAGAAAAGATGATGCGAGGGTAATACCTACGAGCGACCTACGACCCTAGAAAAGATAACATGAGGGTAAGACCTACAAGCGACCTATGACCCTAAAAATATAACGTGACGGTAAGACATACGGGCGACCTACGACCCTATAAAAAGATAATGTGAGGGCAAGACCTATGAGCGACCTACGATTCTATAAAAGATAACGTGAGGGTAAGACCTACGGGTGACCTACGACCCTAGAAAAGATAACGTGATGGTAAGACCTACGAGCGGCCTACGACCCTAGAAAAGATAATGCGAGGGTAAGACCTACGGGAGACCTACGACCCTAGAAAAGATAACATAAGGGTAAGACCTACGAGTGACCTACGACCCTAGAAAAGATAACATAAGGGTAAGACCTACGAGTGACCTATGACCCTAGAAAAAGATAACGTGAGAGTAAGACCTACAACCCTATAAAAGATAACGTGAGGGTAAGACCTACGACCCTATAAAAGATAACGTGAGGGTAAGACCTACAAGTGACCTACGGCCCTAGCAAAGATATAACGTGAGGGTAAGACCTACGAGCGACCTACGACCCTAAAAAAGATATCGTGGGGGTAAGACCTACGGGAAACCTACGACTTTATAAAAAATAGCGTGAGGGTAAGACCTACGACGCTGTGAAAGATAACGTGAGGGTAAGACCTACGAGCGACCTACGACCCAATGAAAGATAACATGAGTATTAGTAGTATAATGACAAATGTTAACTGGGAGTTATGAGGATGATATTCTTTGTGGGGATGTTTTGTTAATTTGGGATTGATTTAGGGCTCTTAGGCAAGGTATCAAATCTGGCTCATGCTTCATATGCATTTGAAGTGTGGCATGTTGATCCATGGATATGCTATGCGTTTGAGGATGCAATGCAATATGCAGTGATGGTTATTGTATGAAAAGTTCCAAATGCTAAGCTCATTGGGATTCGTTGCTCGTCATCTTGAGATAATAATATGGATTGGTGCTTGAAAACTGAGAGAATCGAGTTATAGCCTTGTCGAGTTCATAGGGGATTAAATTTGTTGAGGATGAGTAGCTTGATCTGACTTTCTTCATATGCTGGACTTCTCGTGAATGACTAAGTAGAGATGTGGGCCTCATCAAATGCCCCAAGTTTTCTTTATTATTAGGGAGGAGATGGCTCGGTTTGACTTTTCCCCCACCGCAAACTACTTGGGGATCGGGAAATGGACATGGGTATCTTTAGATACCCCAAATTCACTTCATCGTCGGGGAATTGCGTGTTTAAACATCTGTAGAGAATGATGATGATTCCAAGGACGTTAACTAAACCAAAGTGAAAGTCATGAAGCTTTTATCCTAATTGCATTTGTACGGTTGACAGGAATTTTCTTGAGCAGCTTCATAAGAGGGGAGGAGGAATACCCTTGTCTACAAGGATCTCTTTGAGTGGAAGGTTGGAAGATTCGTGTCAAAATACGACACAAAGTGGAATACCCAAATATCTGCCTCTGATCATGGATTCTCGTAAGGTTGCACAAATTCTGAATAGGTTACTCAACCTGATTTCCCCAGTTCGAAATTTAAAGAAATTTATCGACAAGATTACCTCTGGTTGACTGGAAAAAGATGGAAGAGATTTATCAACGTGATAGCCTCTGATTGGGAATTGTGGGAATGCCCCAGAATAAAATCATTTTTTTATTTTTTGATAAGTTTCTGCGGTAATTCATCCTTCGAGATAACCAGGTTTTCATTTGATGTTCATCACACAAGCTTACTTAATGTTCAAACACTTATTTATATGCAACAAATGTTTGTCTAAGTATGATGATTCTAATGCAAATTATATGCTTGTCTTGAAGTTTAAAAAAAATTTATTGAAAAGATGTCGAAGCATTAGTTTTTTTTTTATGAAAAAGGTGGTGTATTACCAACTCAAATTTTATCACATCTCCGAGGAGTCAGGTTACCGCATTCTTGCTACAGTATTGCTTTCGAATCAACCCATGCTTCAGTTAGGACTTTTAAGGGTTATAACGTGGCCTGGTTCACGGTTTTAGAAAAAAAGATTTAAGGCTCGAAATTATTTGGTTCCCACTCATTCTCCATGATGTTCTCCATTCCTACGTTCAGTTAACTCGATACGAGCACTCGTCTCCTGAGAAGAGAGTTTACGATGAATGAGGAACCATAGGGGTTTCTAGGACCCGACAATCACTGACTTCTTGGCATCTGATCACTCGATCTTGTTCTTTGCTGAGGATTATTATTTTTTCCTTTCGCTTTCCCTAATTTTTGCCTGGACAATTTCTTGATTTTGAAGTTGCAGTCCAGCGGGATGCCCTGACTTTTGCCTAAGTCTCTTGCTTTTCAAATTTCTACTTAAGGGGTCTTTTTGTCTCTTTCTTTTTGAACAAGTTGTTGATCTTTGCATCGTATTTGATTTATTGGAACTGGTTGTGGTTGCCTGAGTCCGGGATAGATGAAGGATAATTGTTATGGTATCGCCATCTGCTGACCTCCTGATGTGTGAGAGATACCCATGGGGACATCGTTCTCTTTGATGCGCGCTGCTGATAGGTGAAGGTTAGACTTTATGGTCTTGACTTCCCCTAGCCCTTTGATGGATAACCATTGTTGTATCCCTATGAGCTCACTCTTGACGAGTTCTAAATGCTCAATCGGATTAACTGAAATTTACCCGCCCCGAGGTTAAAATTGAGGGTTTTTCTACATAAAATAAAATTCCGACTTCAAGGCTCAAAAGGGTTGACGAGGGTCTATCTCCCTTATAACTCTGGTGCTTGGGAATTTGAAACAAGGCTTGTACATCGTCAGTAAGGTTTTATTCAAAAGCATACTATTTGAGAATCTAAGTGTCAGATCTTCATCATCCTCCCTCAAGAGTTATTTTGTTCTTAAAAAGAGTTAAGCATCAAAAGAAAGTTTTATAACAAAACGTAAATGAGTGACTACGAATGGATTAGTTCAAGACAAACACAGTCAATGCATGGTGATTTAATATAAAAAGACAAACACTTTTGCATACAATGGGTACTGAACAAAACAAGAAAGGTTACAAATGATAATGCAAATGAAATTAGAAATTTCCATGCTCAAGAGACTTCTTCAGGCTTGGCTCATTTGAAGAGACGCTCTTGTAGTCTTGACACCTATCTCAGCAAGAGGATTCAATCCATTATCATACCCTTTGGAGTGAACGTGATAACTTTGGCATTAAGGAGGTCTTGAACGTTATTTTTTAATGCCCTGCAATTCTCAATTGTGTGGCCTGGATCACCTGAATGGAATTTGCAACGAGCACTGGCATCATACCCCCGTGAGAGAGGATTTGGCGTTGGGCCGAGTTCACGCAATTGAACCAACTAATTGGAAAACAACGGAGGGAGAAGATGAGCATAAGACATGGGAATGGGATCCACCCTCCTTTCAATAACTTTCTTCCTCTTTCGTTCTTGTTTCCCCTGGGGTTGTTGATTCAACTGAAAAGACCCAGATCGTGCTCGTTGAACATACAGTTGTCTCTATGTGTACTGATGTTGATGATGGATTGACTGATGTTGAGTCACCCGAGGTTGTTGAGCCGAGATTGTAGCACATGCTCCAGGAACATATCGATTAAGATGAACAAACGACGCTTGACGGTGTAGAGCTTGATCTTGATGATGGATCGGGGCATTCCCTTTGTTGATAGTAGCATTAGTCTCTCCTTCTTTCTTCTTGAGAAGGCCAAAGCAAGGTTTCTTGTTACTACCATTGATAGTGCTAGATGTACCTTGAATTTTTCCTGACTTAAGGCCATCTTTAATACATTCCCCGATGGTAACCAAGTCTGAAAAGGAAGTCGAAATACTACCGAGTATGTGTTGGAGATATGGGTCTTGCAAGTTTTCTGCGAACAAATAAGTCAATTCACGATCCAAGAGAGGAGGATGAATCCTTGCAGCTAATTCACGCCACCTTTGAGCGTACTCTTTGAATGACTCTTCAGACTTCTGTATCATTCTTTGAAGTTGAGCGCGACTAGGAGCCATGGCAGTATTGTAATGGTAATGTTTCAAAAAGGTATCAGCTAGTTCTGCCCAAGTACTGACATGAGTTCTTCCTAGTTGCATATATCAGTCCAACAGTACCCCGGTCAAGCTATCTTGGAAGAAGTGCATGAGTAATGGTTCATTTTCAGCATAGGGTGCCATCTTGGTAAGAACGAAGATGAGTCTCTGGGAAGGAAGCGCCTTTATATTTGTCAAAATCAGAAACTTTAAACTTGGGAGGAATAACTACCCCAGGAACGAGACATATTATAGCAGTATTGAATCCATAAGCCTCGATACCCTCTATGGCTTTGAGACGTTCTTCGAGAGCATGGTACATTTTTGCAGTTTTAGCAACTTCATCGGCAAGATTCACTTGGGGTTCATCAAGATTAATGACGTTGTGATGATCATCAACATCATTCCTAGGAGCTCCAGTAGGGGTCTCGAGATTTGCATTATCATTCCTCCCATTAGCAGAAGTGAAGGGAGTGACAATAGTAAGCTTGGCAACACTTTGATGTAACTCTTCTTAACCCTTGATCACAGCATGAAGGGTTTCCATAAGCTGATCCATGTGAGTTCCCATGGTGTCCATATCTCGGCGAAGTGCATTCTGATTCTCTTCAAAAAGATCCATAAGTCTTCGCCGGATGCTTCTTGTACGGTAAGGATGTGGAGAAGTCGTCTTTGCTGTTTACTGAAGTCCATCGGAAAAGGGACCCCAATGAGTTTTTGTTGTGAAAAATGAATGCATGATGGTATGAATGAATGTTTTATCTTCATTTTTGGGGAAGCCCAAAGAATCGTCTATCTTTGAAAATTTGTTTTCCTTTTTGAAAAACTATACCAACGAGACTTATCTTTAGACTTCCTTAGATATGAGATATATATATACATGATGATATGATGTCATGGTATGCTATAGCATGAAGTCTCAGCTCTACATATTCTGGATAACCGTTGTGTAGTCCCTTGCATAAGCTGAAAGTAACAGGATCAAAAGTCCGACGTCACAGGCATGGAGTCAAAGTAACCACCCATAAGGTATGTACTAGGAGTTGTCACCTTCTGAACAAGGTTCTAAGGAGATCTCAGAGTCTACGCTCTTCCGATGGATATTACTGACGTCCCAATTACTTGGTAATCAGTAGTATTCGCAGGAAAAACTCATCCGAGTGCAGCATCGCGTGACAACTACTTCCGGATTACTTCGTTATAGTCTCTGCACTGTACCTAAAAAAGGGCAGGATGGGTTAATGGTTCTATGGCCCTCAGCTTCTCGAGTTCCCAGGTCGAAAGCAATGATGTCTTCCCAATTACTCGATAAACATCACTACTTTCAAGGGGACCTCCACTGAGTGGGGGATTTCCATGCCTCCTTCTTCGGGATTACTCTCTCAAAGTTAACATGACTATACCTCCCGTCCTAATCTTAAGTGTAACCCAAGTCTGGGTATAGGATTTATCAAATGTAATCACCCAACCCAACATCACAATGTATCCAAAATATGTGAGTAGCAACAATATATGCAATATATACAAAAGAATAAAGCAATAATAAAACAGTAAAGCAAAAATAAAGAAAATAAATAAACACCAAAAAAGACAAATAAACAAAACTAGGAAAGACTCGCAAAAGGTCCCTAGTAGAGTCGCCAGCTGAAGCTACCGGTGGAAAACACAGAGCCGCCACCGAACTTTATTTATCCCAAAGGATGGGGAAATATCGATAAAACCACAAGGGAAATGGATAAGATGGTCTTACAACCAAGAGAAAGGGTAAGGGAGTCGATTATGAGATGGGAAGGTATTAGCACCCCTTACATCCGGTGTACTCAACGGGATCCATTTTGTTTGTTTTTCTTTAAGGGTGTGTTTATCTACAACTATACTTGCTTAAGGGGAAAGGAATGGTTTTTTATTATTGTGTTCGTGAGGGTTTCGTGACCCTTTACCTATGTATCCAATGACGGAATCAGAACACCGTAGTTCCTCTAGAAAATGGTTTATTTGTGTTTTTTATTGGGCGACGTTAACGCACGCATTCTAGCAATAGGCATGACCAGTATCGCGGTAGAACGGAGATAACATGCCCTTTGGGGGAGTTTTGATTGGTTCAGTATTTTGCGGGTTTTAAAATAAATTCAAGTAATGATTAAGGATGTTTTTGGATTTTTAATTTATGAATGATAAGTTTTAATTATAAAAGAAAAAGGTTAAGGGGGAGACTAAAAACCCAAATGTTTTGTTATGTACAAGTGAGCTAAAAGTCTACTTCGACACAAGGCGGTCGAAACGGGGTTTAATCGCCTCATGGAGCTACCTAAGGGAGTATGGCATCGAGGTTTGAACGAACAAATAAAGAAACTTAAATTCTAAATGTTTTTTGTGGTTTTATATCAAATTTAATAAATAATGAATTCAAAAAGAAAATTAAAACCTACTTCTAAAATATTCTAATATTTATTTGTGATTTTTAAGTAAAGCAAATTAAAATCTAATCCTAAATATATATTTTTTGTGATTTTTAAGTAAACAAAATATTATAAGAAAATTAAAATCTAATTCTAAATATATTTTTTTGTGATTTTTAAGTAAAGAAAATGTTAAGAGAAAACAAAAATCTAATTCTAAATATATATTTTTTGTGATTTTTTTAAGTAAATAAAATATTAAAAGAACACTAAAATTTAATTCTAAATATATCTTTTTTGTGATTTTTTAAGAAAAGAAAATATTAAAAGAAAATTAAAATCTAATTCTAAATATATTCTAATATTTTTAATTCTTTTGTATAGAGAAAATGAAATTAGAATAAGGTTAAATTCTAGTTATTTATTTAAAGAAGAGTTTAAAATAAGCAAACATGAATAAAGTTTAGAAGTTAGAACAAAGAGAATGAAAAAATAAAAAGAGGATCCAAAAATGGTCCCTATGGATACTGAACCCGGGAACATTGGTTTGCAACTTTAAGTCCTTACCACTACACCATGCTTTATGATTCGTCATTTGTCACAGTTCGAAAAAAATATAAAGTAACACAAAAGAGTGAATTGGGTCCAATTGGAGAACCTGGTCCGGGTTAGGCCCAATTAGAAGTTGTATTAAGAAAAACCCTAGAAGCCAGAAGGAATGGCTGGCCGCTGGTATTACTTGGGAAGGGGAAAGAATTGGTCGACATTAATTATTTAATTAATTTCAAAAAATTCCTAACAATTCTCAATTAATGGAAACTACTCTCTCAGCTTTCAAAATCCTAATGTTCTTGTCCATTTTAGATTTCACGATGAAACAAACAAATTTACTTTCTTTGTTCCAACAATCCCATTATCCTTCTTCTTCTTCTAAAGGAAAAGAACACAAAAATCCTTTCTCAATCTCAGCCAAAAAACTTCGCGATTCTCGCTCTTTCTATTCTCACTGTTCTAACAACAATTAAACATCTCTTTGTCGCTACAGAAAAAAAACATTTTGCACTCTTGATTATTACGGATCTCCTTCTCCATTTCTCTATCTAAAGCTCATCATGGTTCAAAACGCAAATAACTACAACACCATGCAAATTTTGGTGTATACCATTTTAGTGCAAATTTTGGCATGTTTTGTTTGGTGTTTGTGTATAGGTCGTAGCAGGGTAATTGGAGCATATTTTTGGTGTTTTCTTGATAGCAATGGACAACAATATGATAACAAGCATATCAATAGATTTTTGGGCTTTGTTTGTAGGTCTATGCAGGGCTGGTCTATGGGGCTTGTGGATGGTTGGTGGAAGACTGTTTTGATAGACTATTGTATGCAGGAATTTGCCAGCATGGGGCAGAGTTGGTGGACTGGTTTAATAGAAGGTGTTTGGACTGGTTTATAAACAGTATGCAGGACTGGCTTTTGACATGGTTTTGGAATGCTTTGTAGATGATGTAGGGCTGCATAGGAATAGTAAGGAAGCAGGCTATGTTGACATGATCTTGGGTTAGCAGCAGCAGGCTTGGACTGCAGCATATCAAATTTGGAGCTTTTCTCGACGGCAGCATTGGTTTTGTGTATTGAAAAAAAATGGATTAGGTAACCTAATCTGTTTGGAGTGTTTTTATGGTTTTACGCATGGATGTTGTTCCAATTGGTTTGTAGGCACGGTTTTGGAAATGTGGTGATCATGGTTGATGCAAGACTTTGGGCCTGTTTTAAACAAAGTTCTTGAAGATTGGCATAAAGAACTTTGAAGATGAATATTGAAGATTTCAGAATTAGGTTTTGGATGGATCTTGTTGTGGGCTTTTATAGTAAATTTTTTATAGTTTCATTTGTAACATGGTGTATTTGGAAATTGTAATATTTTGTATCATGAAATGTCTTGAAACTAATGAAAACCTCAAATCCAGTTAAAAACTTGCATGATGATGTTGAGTGGACCTATGGTTGAATCTTGAATCTTACTTAAAATTTCTAATTTCCGAGCTTCCTTCAATTTAAACCTCAATTTCATTCTGTGTTTCTTCAATCTTGACTAAGTAGAAAGGCCCATATTGTGAGATGGATTAGAACTTCAAATGTGACATAGGTCAAAATATGTTGTCCCAATAACTTAAACTCAATCCATGACCGTTCCCATCTTGTATCATAACTTCCAACCCCAAGTAGTGTATATGACACACATTGAATAATGTCACACTCAATGACCTTCCAGATATGAAATCCTTAAAAACATATTGCGCAGGAAGAAAACTATTCACAATGCCTCACATCTCAAGAAATTCTTCTCTAATCAGATAAAACCTTGATTCCTAATGTACCAACCCTAACTGGTGGGATGAGAACAATGAATTCTCATATTTTCCTGCATGAATTTTATGGCCAAATAACTTGCAGTTCCACTAATTAACTCTTTTTATTGACAATAAGGAAGCTCAAGCGAGATCCTAACCACGAGGGCGCCATATGATCATAGTTAACCCCAACCAATCGATAAATGCAAGAAAAAGAAAATGCAACTCTCAATCATGGTTCACAAGACAATTTATCTTTGAATTCAAACCCTTTGAATGAAGTAAATAAGATAGTTTGTATCACGAGAAACAATGCGACCCATTCCTCATAGGATAGACACACTAAAGTGTCAAGGAGAAAAACTCATGACAGTCAAGGTCAAAGCCCTAGTTCATGTCCTTGACATATCTTTAAAGAGAATGAAAGAATAATTTCATAAACATGGATCCAAAACCCTAATCTCTTGACAAACAAAATGGGAATAAACTCTAATCCAATATCTGATGAATTCGATTCAGAAATTGCCTCGTAACTAGATGAGAAAGAAATCCATGATATCCAAACCTAAAAGCCTAATTCCACATAGTTCACTGCTCAAGAACTAGATGAAACTGCCTTTAACTGATGAAGGGACCCCAAAACCAACATGAAACTCTAGTCTTGCACAAATACTGCTTCTTAAACCAAAGTACTTTATTCAATGAAATGTGTGATATGCAAATGAAATAGTAGAGATGATGTAGATGAAATGTGAAGTCTAAGCCAGACAAAAGTAAAAGGTAGGACAAATTTGGGGTACGACAAGTTCCTTTGAAGACTCATTCTAATACCCTTTCCAATTAAAAACGGGTAAAAGACCTTTGTTGGTCCATTTTAAGTCAACCAAAGATTTATTCTAGTTGAAGTCAATAGTTATTTTGGATGGCATCTATAAGCCCATTCCCGTTGCAATCAGCCAAAAACATCGTCATCTTGCACAGGCGAGTGCAAATTTCTGGGCACTTGAGTGTTCAAACATCTTCTACCTTCAAGTCACGAATGGCGGACATGCCAATCTAACTCTTCAGGTTTAAGAAGATTGAACAGGGGCAGCTATTGTACCCCAAGATTTTCCATCTCATTTTTCTCAAAATATTCTTTCAAGGCTCTTCATATAATCAAGACACTCAAGGGTTGACTAGTCAAGATGCTCCTCTTATTTAAAGGCCTACAACTAGGGTTTGTAATTTCTCAAAGAAATTAGGTTTGTAAAAGTATAAAGTGGATTCCATGGTTCTTCATAGGCCCTTAACAAGTTTCATGTCAAGTTTCAAGCTCTACATCACAAATTTGCTCAGTCAATGGCTCAAATGTTTGAAAATCAAATGTATTGGTCAAAAAGTCAACTATGATCAACATACAGTCAAACTTCAAGATTTTTGGTCAACATCAACATTTTTAAGTGATATTCATCATTTGATCAAGGGTTGATCATTATTCCCCAAGGAAAACTCTCAAATCATCAAAAGTCAAGATTTATCAAATTAGGGTTTTGTAATACGGTGGAAGAACTGACTTGGTTATTTTGCGTTTGATTGTGGTGGGTGTAAGTTTTAAAGTATTTTGAAAAATGCCTTTGTTGCAGAAAAATTTGTAACGATTCTCGTCTCTATAATAATGCGTACAAAGTGTTGGTTTTGAAAATAGTTCAAAGAGATGTTTGTTTTTGAAATATGTTTTTGAATGTGTGTGTTGAAAATGGTTTTAGTTCAAGAGAATGCAACTATGAGCGTCCTACCTACTCAAAAGTTCTATGTTATTTTCCTCCTCCTTTAGACGTTTCTATCTTACCATTGATTTGGTAAGAATCCCTGTCATTGGATGTGAAGGGACGGGCGTGGGTCATCGTATAGTCATAAAAGGAAACCTATGAGACGTTTTAGCAATTTTCATAAGGGACTAGATCTTTTACCGAAGGCAACATCGAGGGACATTGAGGGACTACGATATTTTTATCGAGGGTATTTTCTAAAATGCCCATATTCTAGGGACATGACCATTTTTTGAGGAAACAAGTGAGATTACCCTAGAGATAGTATGTTTGATTGCATGCATTTTTGTCTTGAATTTAGGTTGTCTACTTGTTGATTTTAATCTTGCCATACATACCCTAGTTACTAACATTTATGAAAGCAATAAAAATGCGGAAAATAAATGTCTTATGCTATTACATGTTTTGGGGGATGGGGTATACAAGTTTACAAATGGGGGTTTAAAAGCAATAAAACTCCTAATTATTACAACCATATTGAATAGCAAGAAAATGTAAATATATAGAAAATATAAAGACAAAAGTAGTGTAAAAGAGAGAATTAAAAGACATCCTGGATCGAAGGATGTGTCTTTCGATTCCCACACTTTTTCCTTCTTTAGTTTGGGGCCTGTAACTAGTGTATATCGAAGCATGTAACCTTAGATTCACACCACCTTATTTTTTTGTTTGCAATTGTGAAGCAGTAAGGGGAGAAGCCTAAGGCTTTGATTCACACAAACTTTTTTCTCTCGTTTGGGTATGTACAGGTTAGTTCTTGTTTGAAGGAAAACAAACCAAAGGGTAGAAACAAAAACAAACAAAAGTTACCAATGATGCTTGAAACGAAAAAAAAAACTTAAAGTCAAGAAGACTTACCTTGCTTGAAGCTGGAATGTGGGTTTGGACTTGAGTTGCTGCCCCGGATGCTCTTGGATTCGAAGGAAGAGAAACAAGTGTTATGTTTCTTTGACTGGATTTGAAATCCAAGAAAAGTAGAGTTGTGTTTATTTGGTTCTGGATTCGAAGGAAAAGAAACAAGTGTTGTGTTTCTTTAGTTCTGGATTAGAAAGAACATAAACAAAGGTGTGGTCTTTTGATTCTGGGTTTGAGAGTGTGTTAAGTGTTTTCTCTTTTCTTTGCCTTGCCTTAGATGTGTTGTGGAACCTCTTATTTATAGATGAAGTTTGAATGAGGTTTGGAGGGGGGGGGGGGGGGGGAGCAAATGAAATTTGAACAAATTGGGTATGCTATTTTTGTAGCTTCCGAAGTACAGTTTTTGTATGCCAATTTAGTGCAAATATGCGAGCAGCATAGTAGGACTGCTTTGTAGCAGTTTTGGAGTGTTATGGCCAGTACAGCAGGCTTGGGCTTGGTAGGATATTGGACTTTGGTCAGCAAGCATATTGAATATATCAAAAGACAAAACAAAACATGTTTCCAACAATTATGTCCTTCGAATGGACCACATGTGTGTTCTTCGAATGGACCAAATGACCACTTGTGTGCTATTCGAATACACCACTTATAATTCTTCGAATGGGGCACCAATGTTTGTCCTTTGAATGGGCCACCAATGTATGTCCTTCGAATAGGACACCTATGTATGTCCTTTAAATCCACAAATGCATGTCCTTCGAATGGGCCACCAGTTGTGTGTCATAGTGTAGAAACTATGTGTGTTAAAGGTTTTTAAAGGTGGAATCGAAGCAAGTTGTTTCAAAGGGAGCCACTGCCTAGTGAATCGAAGCAGGCGTGAAAGAAGCCACTGTTTTGTGGGTGCTAGCATGAAGGGAAGCCATTTCCTTGTGCATTAAAGGAATGCACATATGAAGCCATTTCCTTGTGGGTCAAAAACAAGCACAGAAGAGGCACTTGCCTTGTGGATCAAAGCAGACATGAAGGAAGAACTTTCCTTGTGAATCGAAGAAATACATGAAGGAAGTATTTGCCTAGTGAATTGAAATAAACATAAAGCAGCCAACGCCAAGTCTAAGATTTGTGAATTAAACTTGATCGAAGGAGGCCAAATGCCCAATCGAAGCTTTATGAAGGTAACCATTGTCCAAACGAAGCTTGCATGCAGGACGCCACTGCTTTGTGAATCAAAGCAAGCTTGTAGCAGGCCATTGCCTTCTGAATCAAAGCTTGCATGCAGGAGGCCACTGTCTTCTGAATCAAAGCAAGTTGTTTCAAAGGGATACATTTCCCATACGAAGCTAGCATGAAGGAAGGAGTTTAGTCGAAACTAGCATGAATCGAAGCAATGCCCAGTTAAAGCTAGTATGAATCGAAGCAAGCTTGCTTTTCTTCAATTTTGCCAAAAAAATCAAATTTGTCTGCTTTCCTCTTTCAACAG